CCCGTGCTCGTCTACCCGGCCCTGCTGCCCGCCCGACGGTCTCCGCCCGCGCGCCCGTCCACGCCCGTGGACTAGGTGGCAGGACCTGGGGCCAAGCGCGCGGGGAAACAGGCCCGGCCTCCCGGGAAGCCCGAGCCGGCGGGCGCTCCGGCCCCGCGCGGCGCTGTTCATGAAGCATGTCGGCCACCAGCGTGGACCCCCAGGTAGGGGGCCCAGGCGGGGACCTGGAAGCTGGGCCTGAGTCTTGGGGCCAGGATCTCGAGCCTGGAGGCCTGGCTAGGATCTCGAGTCTGGGATTGCAGTACCCGGACCGGGTTACATGGAGGCCAGGCCAGGGTCTTCATGTCCAGGGTCTCGGGACTAGGGACCTGGAGTCCAGTTTAAGGTCCGCAATGCGGGGTCCTGATGAGGGACCTGGAGGCCGGGCTGGGGTTGCGGGGCTGCGGCCATAGGGTCCGTCAGGAGGTCATGGGGACCGAGTTCGGGGTCGCGGGCCAGGGAACATGGAGACTGGGCTGAGGTCGCACCACTCGCCAAAGAGCGTAGTCCAGAGAGTAACTTTGTCTTTCCTTTTCCGGGCGGGGTTGTGTCGGCTCGAATATCCCGGCCTGTGGCGATGCAGAGAACAAAAGGACAAGATAATAAAGGTGAGCAGAGTTACGGGGCAGCCCTGTGGGCAGTGAAGGACCTGACAGCGCCCGCCCGCGTGGTCCACAAATCCCATCTAGAACCTGAAACTTACTTTTCTCCACCAGCTTTGGAGAGATGAAACTTTAAATTTCCAGGAGTTTTGACAGGTTGAAGACAAGGGCTTTTCAAGGAGTAGTAAATAAATGGGTGCTCAGAGTAGTTCAGTTCTTCCCTGCTCTCTGCCCTGCAAGATCTTTGATTAGATGGGGCAAGGGGAAGGAGATAAAGTTTGCCCAGGGCCAGGAACAGAAGTCAAGGGGCTTGGGAGGGTCTGGCTCTGTGGGAGAGGCAGTCAGCATGCCTGCCCTGTAAAGCCCTTGTTTTCTAAGTTTGCTGTCATCTGCTGTGATAAACCACTAAAATTTACTGTTTTGAGAACCTGTAAGTGACACTTCATGTTTACTTGTTTTTAAAGGGTGTGTTGCTTCTTGGGTGTAACCAAATATGGTTCATCATGTTTTAAGGTTGGAAAATACCCAACACTTTATTTACCTTTCCTTTCTGGCTGAGCATTGTAACAGTGGAAAGTAAGTGGAGAGCCAGATAATAGTGAGCTTCGATTACAGCCCCTTCCCAGATGAGCATCTTTTCTTCAGATCTCCATACTGGCTGAGTTTTTGGAGGCTCCCTGCTCACGTTTGCCACAGGTAGATCTTAGACCCTGTCAGTTTCATGGGATGGGGATGTGATTGGTAGAGTGCTTGTCTGGCAGTTAGAGGCCCCAGATTGGATCCTCAGTACTGCCTAAAACAACTGAAAAAAACAAGACCTTATCAGTTTCCCCAAAGCAGTGAGTTTATTGCTGTATTTTCTTTGCACCTATATTTTGTCAAAATCCTACCAAATTAAGATTATATTAGAGTGGGCCAGGGTTGTAGCTCAAGGGTGCTGCCACCTGCTTTGCAAGTGCAAGGTCCTGAGTTTGATCCCTGGTACCAAAAAAAAAAAAGAAAAAAGATTATATTAGAGAGTGTAATCTAAATTATTTAAAGTTCTGCATCATCCTAATAGGGTATATGTATCAGCTCTATACTGATTGTGTCCATTTTAAAATGAAATAAAAGCTTCTGTGGAAGTTGATGGAAGAAGTAGACTTGACTGACTTTAGTTTTCATGCTTAAAAGTAATCTTTTAAAACTTGGAGATAATATTTTCCAACTTCCTTTTGTAGTACAGAATGGTTCTTTGCATCAGAAGGATACAGTTCATGACAGTGACTTTGAGCCCTACCTTTCTGGACAGTCCAATCCGGTAAGTTTATTTTGTTAGCATATATTTAATTTTAGATTAATTTTAGTTGTTTGTAATATACTTTTAATGTTATATTTCTTTTTTTTTTAAATGTTACATTTCTGATTTTCTTATCCTAAACAAGAAAGAAGCAGAGTTGAAAGTGTTAGAAATGATAGACAATTCTAAAAGACTTGCCTTGGTCATTTCCTCATGTTTAACTTGGGGCATGAGTGTGATGCAGGAAGTTTTTTCTTTGGGGCTGGGATACAGGCAGACTATAGGGGCTAGTGGGCCCCACCATTTGTGGGCTGGTGATGCAATGCCTTTTGTGGAGTACAGGTTTGTGTAGTGCCTTGAAGCTTTCCGGCACATTGTTTTTGGCTCTAGAGCATTGGAATTGTGGTTCTAGGAGAGCAGGTAAGCTGGGTAGAGTTGTACTCCCACCTTGATTTGAACCTTAACTTCACCTGTGTCAGGTGGCTTTCATTTCCTGTTCTCAGTTTCCTTTCTGTGACACAGAAATGATAGTAACTTTGCATAGAATTGTTGGAAGAGAGTACTTGGTGAGTACCAAGAGAATACTTCATACAAGGCCCAGCAAGTCACAACTGCCTTGTTTTTTTCTTTCTTTTTTTTTTGAGATGGAGTCTCTCTATGTGGTTGAGGCTAGCCTTGAACTCACAGTGCTTTTTTTGCCTCAGCCTTCTGAGTGCTGGGATTACAGGTATGTGACCCTACGTCTGGCCTGCTTTGTTTTCTTAGGTAGTTCAGAATTTCTCAGCCTTGGCACTATGGACATTTTGGACTAGAACATTGTCTTGGAGACTTCTGTGCATGATGGGGTATTTAGCAGCCTGCTTGACTTTCACCCACCATATTCTATCAACATCCTCCTCAGCCTCAGGCCCCTCTCTCCCCAGTTACTGCCACCCCTGTTGTGTCAATTTTGGATGTCTCCTGGGGAGAGAGTTGCCCCGGTTAAAACCACTGGGCTAGTGGGGTAGGGATTTAGCTCAGTGGTTCTGGCGCCTGCTGCGGAACCGCAAGGTCCCCAGTTCGATCCCCAGTACCAAAAACAAACAAAAAACCACTGGGCTACTTGGAATTCAGGTTTATATATATCTGCCGCTTAAAAAACATTGTGCAAGCGCAAGGACCCGAGTTCAATCCCCGGCACCAAAACAAACAAACAAACAAACAAAAACATTGTGCATAAATACTTTAGAATAAGACTAGGCTTTGCCTGTTCCTTGAAGCAGAGGGAAACTAGTCTGCCTACCAGTTTTCTTGCTTATGTGCCCTTTTCTAAAGCATCTTAGAACTTTTTTCCATCTTTCTCTTTTCTACTCCACCTTTCAAGCCAGCTGCTTAGGAGCCCAAGAAACTGTATGTAGGGAGACGTGAGCCACTGAGCCTTCTGGTTGACTCTTGAGACTCTTGCCCTCCTGTGGGTAGGACAGGTCATTACAGAACTGACCTGGCATCAGCCATGGTGCTTTAGCCAAAAGTGATGGGCAGAAGTTAGACTTATTTTTAAGAATATTTTATTTTCTACTTTCAAGGTATGGTATTATGGCAATATTATATACTAGATTTTAACTAAAACAGGGGGAGGGAGTTTACATCATTACACTTGAAATACATTTCTGTAAATGTGACTTGGGATGATGTCTTTAAAATGGAGTAGATTGTTTTCTGCTGTCAGTGGCTGGTCATAGCTCTTTAGTCCTTGAGAAGCCGCAGAGAAAGACTTGCATAGGCTGGGGTTAAAAGTAAACAGGCTTTTCGTGTTCTGTGCTCTCTTTAGTGAGGGGATTAATTGGCATATTGAGTGAGCCCATGCTTTTGATGGATGGATAACAGATTTTGCAGAAATACCCAACTTTGGTAGAAGGTAGGAAGCATGTAATGTGGGAGAGCTCTTCAGTCCTCATTTTTACTTGTAGATGAAGTAACTGGGAACCATTAAAGCCCAGGCGATGAGCTGGTGGTAGTAGAGCCAGGGTGGGACCATGATTTGTCCTGCCTATTTGCTTTGAGTTCTCCTTATTTACTGTTTCAGCCACGGGTCATTTGGGAATTGTTATTGTCTTTAGATTTGCACTCTTCTGAGCAGGGTTGCCACTTAGAAAAGTTCTCTTAAATTCTCAGAGGAGACCGTGGTATTGTGTCCATCCAGCCAGAAAAGGGTGTTTGGTGTGGCTGGTAACAGTAAGTTTAGAATTCCTTTGGTGTACCAGATACCCCATGAAAGTTGTGTGTGTGGGGGCGGGGGGGGAGACGCAGCTTTGTTGAGGTAGGCTGCACATGTTTAGAGCACACAGATTTATGGCTTTTGACTGACACATAGGCATGCGTGCAGAGCCATGACAACAGTGAAGGTCATGGCCTACCCTTAGCCCTTGTTTTGAATCTACATGTGATTTGTAGTGGTCAGCTGGAGGACATTGTGCTTCTTTGTTTTGGAAACTGTGATACTTACAGAATGATTTGGAAAGTATGTTAGAGCATGCACTTAGGTTAGGCTAATGTAGCTCCACAGACACCTCTCCTTGCCCTTGAGGCTGCCCCTGTGCTGCAGCTCCCTGCCTGCCTCCTGGTTGGTTGTGTGTGATGGTAAAGAGGGGAGCAGAGGGACTCTGAGAGAAGGGCTCCAGGTTGGCCTTAATTGTCCAGATTTTCTTGTTTGAGGCCCTTCCTGCTCAGTTTCCTAGTTTTATGGTTCCTGTTGTTTTTTGAAAGGTCATGAAGGATCGTGAGATGACACAGAGCAGGTCTTACTCATAGTGTTTATCTTTTTTCCTGTTCTTTTTTTTTTTTTTTTTTTCTGTACCAGGGATCGAACTCAGGTCCTTGCGCTTTCGAGGCAGGTGGTGGAACCACTGAGCTAAATCCCCGGCCCATTTTTCCTATTGTTATATGAATTTAAGTGTTCAGGAAAGAACTGTCATCGCATGGGCTTCTGTCCCTCAAAGCCTGCCCCATCTGATGACTCAGAAGAGAGGGAAAGTCCTCTCAAGGTTGCTGCCGCCCCAGCTACCTGACCACCTCTCTTCCTGGATGCATACACCTCCATTGACTTTGTGCTTCTTCTTGTCCTAGCGTGTGATGGTTTTTGCAAGGGAAAACCAGCTAGGACTTTTGTGTTAGTGTCCTGAAGTAGCAGGGATTCCAGAATTTGGGGCTCCGTGGTGAAGTTGTGAGTGAACCCCTGTTACTGAGGTGAGGTTAGACAGTGCTGGGTGGGGAGCAGCTGAGAGCCACCTGCTGCTTGGCCTGCAGAGTAGGAAGCATTGTGGGCCACTAATGTGGCTCTGTCTGTGACGTGTGTGTTGTGTGTTTGACAGTATTACCTGAAGTGGACTTTTAGGGATTTCACATACCTGACATGATACACGTTACTTTGTGTCCTAAATCGCGTCCTGTTGCAGTTAAGGCCTAAGTGTAAGTCATAAGCAACTGGGGTGTCTCTGTGGCCTCACTGCCATTGCTCTGCTGTGTGGGCCAGCTAGGTTAGAATGCCATACTGCCATTGGGTCTTTCTTCTCCCATCTGGCCTTCACATGTTGGAGTGATTGCAGCTGCTGAGGAGGGCTGCCTGCCCCTCCGTCATGTGTCTGAACGCATCTCCTGCATGTCTCTCAGCAGTCCCCCCCCAGACCTCCTTGTTGATTTCATCTCTCTCCTGTTAGGCCTCGCTCCACAAAGCTGCTTTAGGGGTGCCTAGGTAGAGGCACATGATGGGGAGGTTGCAGTAAAAGAGCCAGAATCATTGAACTCTTTTCAAGGGAAGATAAGCTCGTTTGTCTCATGTTTATGGAACACTGATAGTGTTACATTTGTGGGCTCAAAGATTTTTATTATAGAGAAACAACTGTTATTTCACTGTCAGAGATGGTTCTGGAATGGTCTCCTGACAAGTGCAGCTTCCTGACCTTGTGCTGGGCTCTTCTACTCCTCTAGCACCCTAGGTGTGCCGCTCCACAGGAGAGGGTCTTTCACCAGTCACCTCAAGCACCAGCGTTAGGTGGGACCCAGCTCTGACTAGAGCTTGGGGAGTCTCATCACTTGTGCTCCTAGAGCTGCTGGCCTGAGATCTGGACTCGTGTCCTGGGGAGCTCTCCAGAGACCCTGAGACTGAAAGCATTGGATCCCCTGCCAGGCTTTGCTGCTGTGTGGCGTGGCCACTTTAAGCCCCTCACTGATGCTCCTGCTGCCACGCAGACAGAGGGAAGCCTCAGTAGGGCAGCTCAGTGAGGCTGGCACCCAAAGTGAGGTCTGCTCTGTACCAGAGAGCAAAGTCCCCTTCTCGAGAGGCTTGCTCTTGGAGGAGGACCTGGAGCAGCCATGGGCCTTTGCTGCTAGGCCCCACTCGGAGATCCCATAGCTGTCCTCAGGAAACCATAGGAATGGAAGGACAGACCCCCCCCCCCTCCGCCGCCCCGCACTCAGGTGGGGGCAGGAATGTGGAAGGGGCCTCTGAAAGGGCTCTTGAAGGGTGGTGAGGAGTCCTGCAGTCCAGGTGTGGGAAAGGGTACCAGGGCCCAGAGGTGGTTACCTGGGGTGTGTGTCAACTGATCAGTGAGCTGGAGCTCCATGGCCCTAACACCATGGTTTGCCACCAGAAATGGCCCAGTGCCTTCTTAAGACCATTCTCAGTTTCTGTTGTGCTGTTAGTAGTGGTTGGCATTATTGGTTCGGGACTGGGATTAATTTGCAACTCTAGATTTCTCTTAACTGGATACTCTTGGATGTAAAAGCAGAAGAATGCTGTACAGCCAGCTCTCGAGTGGCTCAGCTCACTTGTTTAACTTGAGCCTGGATCATTGCAAATAAGGCTTTTTATTTGAGATAACAACTGGGTTGTGTTGTATTCATTCCTGATTTCTCTGTGTCTTGACTTTGTTCTTACCTTGGTGACCTTCATCCCAAGGAGGAATAGCCCCATACCATGTCAAGCCTGTTTCTGCTCAGCCCGTGTGAGAGGTCCTCAGCCTGCCTGTGTCTTCCTGTTGTGATGGCAGCCTGACCAGTCACCTGTTTGTCTTCACAGAGTAACAGTTACCCCTCGATGAGTGACCCCTACCTGTCCAGCTACTACCCACCATCCATTGGATTTCCTTACTCCCTCAATGAGGCACCGTGGTCCACTGCTGGAGACCCTCCGATCCCGTACCTTACCACCTATGGACAGCTCAGTAATGGAGATCATCATTTTATGCACGACGCGGTTTTTGGGCAGCCTGGGGGCCTGGGGAACAATATCTATCAGCACAGATTTAATTTTTTCCCCGAAAACCCTGCATTCTCAGCATGGGGGACAAGTGGTTCTCAAGGGCAGCAGACTCAGAGCTCAGCATATGGAAGCAGTTACACCTACCCACCCAGCTCCCTGGGTGGCTCGGTTGTTGATGGGCAGACGGGCTTTCACAGCGACACACTCAGCAAGGCTCCTGGGATGAACAGCTTGGAACAGGGCATGGTGGGCCTGAAGATTGGGGATGTCACCACCTCTGCCGTCAAGACAGTGGGCTCAGTTGTCAACAGTGTGGCACTGACGGGTGTCCTTTCTGGCAACGGTGGGACAAATGTAAGCATGCCAGTTTCAAAACCAACCTCTTGGGCTGCCATTGCCAGCAAGCCTGCAAAACCACAGCCTAAAATGAAAACAAAGAGCGGGCCTGTGATGGGGAGTGCCCTGCCTCCTCCTCCCATAAAGCATAACATGGACATTGGTACCTGGGATAACAAAGGACCTGTACCAAAGGCCCCTCAGCAGGCACCGTCCCCCCAGTCTGCCCCACAGCCCCAGCAAGTGGCTCAGCCTCCTGCAGCTCAGCCTCCCACCTTGGCTCAACCACAGTATCAGAGCCCTCAGCAGCCTCCCCAGACTCGCTGGGTTGCCCCTCGCAATCGAAGTGCAGCATTTGGTCAGAGTGGAGGGGCCAGCAGTGATTGTAACTCTTTTGCAAATACCCAGCCTAATTCTGCCCCAAGTGTAGAGTCCCACCCCATCCTCGAGAAACTGAAAGCTGCCCACAGCTACAATCCTAAAGAGTTTGACTGGAATCTTAAGAGTGGACGGGTGTTCATCATAAAGAGCTACTCTGAGGATGACATTCACCGCTCCATCAAGTACTCCATTTGGTGTAGCACAGAACATGGCAATAAGCGCCTAGATAGCGCCTTCCGCGCCATGAGCAGCAAGGGGCCTGTCTACCTGCTCTTCAGTGTCAATGGGAGTGGGCATTTCTGTGGAGTGGCTGAGATGAAGTCCCCTGTGGACTACGGCACTAGTGCTGGGGTCTGGTCTCAGGACAAGTGGAAAGGGAAGTTTGATGTGAAGTGGATTTTTGTCAAAGATGTGCCCAATAATCAGCTCCGGCACATCAGGCTGGAGAACAACGACAACAAACCGGTCACAAACTCCCGAGACACACAGGAGGTGCCCCTAGAAAAAGCAAAGCAAGTGCTGAGAATTATCGCTTCCTACAAGCACACAACCTCCATCTTTGATGACTTCTCTCACTACGAGAAGCGCCAGGAGGAGGAGGAGGTGGTGCGAAAGGTGAGTCGTGCCTCAGGTATCACTCCCGAGTGGGTGTCTGTCCCGTGTCTGCACTTGTAACAGGCAGCCTGAGCAATGAGCAGGGCCGGGCGTGGGTGGGAGAGCTGCTGGGGTCTGTAACAGACTTGCTGGCCAGCCTTGGGCAGGAGTGCGGTCCAGGGGGCGCAGCCCTTGCTGAGCTTTCCATAGGACTGTCGCAGGGAAGATCCGTGGTGTTTGGGTGTCACTGAGCAACTTTTGGCCTCTTTCCAGTTTTAGGGACTGCTGTGTGCACGTTTAGTTATAAAGAACCTGAGAGAACTCACCCCTCTTCTCTGACTCATGATGCCTCTTGGCCTGTGTCCATCAGAAGCACTTGGAGTGGGCCCTTCCGTGGCCGCCGCGCTGAGGCAGTGATCATCCATCCACTGCTGAGGGCTTTGTTTCTTGGGGCTCCCCCTCAGCTGTTGGAAACTCCAGAGATTTGTTTCTTATTTTTCTTTTAAAAGCCTGATATCCTGGACTTTTTGGAAACCTACTCCATCTAAGCAGTAAAGAGAGTGGTGGGAAAGGGCAGGTATGAAGTCCAGACATTTTATAATAATAAATGGGAAGCCGGGCATAGTGACACACGCCTGTGATCCCAGCACTTGGGAGGCTGAGCCAGGAGGATAGGCAGGAGTTCGAGACCAGCCTGGGCCACATAGTGAGATGCTGTCTCAACCAAAACAAAATCATAAATAGGTTCATTTAAGCCAGATGTGGTGGTACATAGCTGCATTCCCAGAACTCTGGGAAGCTGAAGCAGGAGGATTGCAAGTTCAAGTCCAGCCTGGGCAATTTAGCGAGACTGCCTCAGAATAAAAAAATTGAAAAACGGCTGGGGATGTAGCTGTGTGTGAAAATTTTGAGTCCAATCTCCAGTACCTAAAGAAAAAAAGTTGCATTTTGTTCCATGTGGCTGGTTCTTGGAGGTGGCCCTAATTGCCAGTCATGGCCACAGTGAGATCGGTAGGGTCGGAGTGGCACAGCACCCTGCCTTGTCTGAGTACATCTGCCCTGAAGCAGGACCCAGTGCCCATAAACCGGCCTCAAATGGTAAAAGCCTAATACGCTTCATAAAGCTCGCTTTACCCAAGAGTTCACCCTGAAGTTCTCTCCTCTGATTCACAAAATGGAAGTTAGTAATAGGTGGTTTTCCAGCCCTTTCTGTCCTCTGTGTAAGAAAGGAATTGCTCACACGAACACACGTGTCCTGAGGCAGTTGGAGCAGACAGGTGTGCAGACGGGGCGTGTGGCTGGGCTGCTGCAGCAACGTAGGCTCATTGTCAGGGGCCCAGAGCTGCAAAACTGAAACAGTGTGATAAGGGAATGCCGTTTTTGAGGTAACTGAAATGCTGTACTTAGCTCTCTTAGGTGTAAAACAAAATGTGCATTGCCTAACAGCGACTCTGAGACATGTTGTTGGGTGGCCTCATTGCTCTGCTGGCCCTGCAGTGTGACCTACAGAATAACAGCTACAGTGTCGCTAGTTGACTTTATAGGCCGCTGTCATAAAACAAAACCTCGGGCCGGGGATTTAGCTCAGTGGTTTCGCTGCCTGCTATGCCAAGCCCAAGGACTGAGTTCGATCCCTGTACCAAAAAAACCCCCCCAAAAACACCTCATTAATGCAGGGCATGGCTGTACTGAGATTGCAGGGTTAGAGCTGGGGTACTTGTTCATTAAACTTAGGTTTGGCTTTAAACTGGCAGCTGGTTGTGTGTCTGTGTGTACTTGAGTTGTCTTCATAAATACTGCATGTGAGGTGTGATTGAAAAATACAGCGAATGTTTAAAATAAAAATTTATGGGCCAGGGATTTAGCTCAGTGGTTTCGCTGCCTGCTATGCCAAGCCCAAGGACTGAGTTCGATCCCCAGTACCAAAAAACCCCCCCCAAAACCAAAAACAAAACAAAAAAATTCATTGCAGTAAAAGATACCTTGCCACTGACCCTGCTCAAAATACTTCTGGCTCCATACACTTGCCATTCTTTCCACTTTCTGAAGCAGTTCTGGAAGTCCTTTTTGTGATGTCTTTAGTTGTGCTGTCATGGCCGCCTCGATGTCCTGAATTGATGCAAAATGCTTATCTTTCGTGGTCATACTGATTTTGAGGAAGAGCCAGCAGCGGCCCACAGTGCCAGCCCTGGTGCTAAGATGAAGATACACTGTGGTGGCCTTACAGGCCTGCGCTGCTGTTGGATGGCACTTGGCGGCAGCATTCGCTGTTTTGGTCACACAAAGACACAGAAGAGGGCTTCTAGGACTGGTTCAGAAGTGTAGGAGTGATGGGTTAGTGCTCAGAGTCAGGGGCAGTGTGCTTTGTACTGATCTACAGCTATAGATTATAGCTATTTTTAATTGAAATGCCCAGGGTATATTTTGATAACCCCTGTGGTGTACTGGGTCCCAAAGGTTGGTGATGAGCTTAGGGATAAAATTCTGCCTGTGATCTGTTTTAAAAATTCTAGTGTCCTAATGTAGTGTCCTTTCATTATAACCACTTGGCCCTTGGACACTGAGTTCTGGTGTGGGTCTCGGGTTCAGCCCGTGGTGAGGACCTGCAGGCCTCTTCGGCAGCCAGCACCTGTCCCACTTGAGCACTGGAGGGGAGTCTGCTGGAGCTACCTGGCAGCGTCCTGGGGAGGCCCGCACCACGTAGCCAGGCTGCAGAGCTTGTGACCCAGTGTTTGTTGTTAAGTCGCATTACTGAGAGTGACAGACAAGAGCCCTGGTTGGTCCGTGGTTCAGTTCATTGGGCTGCATAAAGAACCAGCTGGCTCTGGGCCATCCCCAGCCTGACGCCGTATCCTAGCTGCACTGTGCGCTTGCTGCCTGCCAGTGCTCTGGTCTTCATTCTGTTGGCTGGGTTAGAACCCTAGGCATTTCAGAGGTGAGACTGGGTTTCCGTTGCAAAGTGTAGGCTAGTCTTCAGGGTGAATGTAACCGCAGGCTTGGGAACCACTGCTTCCTCTGGGCTGTAGTACTTGCAGCCAGTAGCGAAGAACCTCTGAGAATGGACCTGGTTTTGTTCATCACTGATTATTAGACTGCACTACTTTCCGATGCTCATAATTTAAACAGTACCTAGTGGTTAGAAAGTAAAATACAGTTGACATTTTTCAGTTTCCCTTTCAAAGTTTCCAGCTATAAATGTGGAAACATTTCTTATGAAAGCAGTAACTTTTATGGCAACTGTGTCAGACCAAGTCCCAGGATGATACATTGTTTTGTTTTTAAGCATATAAACAGTCCTTGGAAGTGCTTTAAGAGGTAAAAATAAGGGCGTTCTACAAGAATGTGCCCCATACCCCAGGCCAGTCCTGCCCAGTGGCATTTGGCTTTGGAAACTGGGTGGAGGGGAGAACTTAAGCATTCCTGTGTGGTTGTTGAGTGCTCCTTTAAAGCTTTTTTTTCCTCGAAGTTTTGTGAGTAGTGTTGCTTTTTAAGAGAGCAGGTGGTAAACCTTGTAGCTATTCATAAAGCCTGGAGGAATATGGGGGCTTACAAAGTGTCCTTGCTCTGGATACTCAGATAGTAGCCATTTGGACTCAAAGACTGACATATACTTAGAGAATTTTTAAAGGAATGCATAATACAGAGTTCTTTTTTCCAGATTTACACTTCCGATAGGGAGGAGATGTTGGTTCTTAGAGTAGTGGCCCCTGGGGGCTGGGGATTTAGATCGGCCCTGCCTTCCTCAGTAATCCAGGTACTCTGGTGACTGGCTGTGGGAGGAGTGGCCATAGGCAGGCCTGGGCCTCAGCTAGAGACAGTGCTTGCTTGGGTGCCTGGCACTGATGGTGTGAACACGAAGATGTGCCCAGTCCTTCATTGGAAGAGAGGGGTTTGGATTGTTGCTTAAGTTGACTTTATATGTTTGGTGTTATGCTCGCTGTCATTGAGGATGGATGTGCCAGGGCTGCCCAGGCACTGTGGTGTGGGGTTTCCCCTTGCTTTGGGTGTTTCTGTGCTGAGAGCTGAGTTTAGATGCTGCATGGTTAGGAAAGAGGTCCTGTGAGCTTCGCCACTGATTAGAGGCCGGGTTGGCGAGCTTGGGAATAGGGTCAGGTGTGAGCCCCAGACTTCCACATCACGTGTGGTCTGGCGGAGACCGCTATGGCTGTAGAGATAGGAAGGAAGCATGGCCAGAGGAACCCCTGACCTGGGCAGTGCTGCTGAGGTCACAGTGTTTGTTCCCTGTGTCTGGAGACACAATTCCTGACATCTGCAGCTTAGAGGAGGAGAGGGCCTGTTGTGGCCTTTCGTTTCAGCCTTTGGTTGGCTGGCTGTGAGGCAGAACCAGTGGTGAGAGGGCCTGGTGGAGGAAGCTGCTTGTCATGGCATCTGGGAAGCAAGAGGGCAGGTGGGGGGGGGGGCAGACAGGCCTAGTCTGTGTCATGTGACCACTTCTGCCTGTTCAGCTGCGACCTCACCGGCGGGCGGGCTAACGCGTGAAGCAGTTAGTGGCTCCCCAGTGTCATCACCTGGCCAGGAGCCTTTTAACCCAGGTGGCTGGTAAACAGGACTGACTGGCACAGAGGGGCTTAGGATTGCAGAGAAAGGGCCCAGACTGGATGGGTCCCAGCTTGTCCTCCTGCTCTTCATTAGTCAAGTAACTTGAGCTTTTGTTCTTTTGTTGCTGGGGATTGAACTCAGGACTTTGCACTTGCAAGGCAGGCACCAGAACCACTGAGCTAGATCCCTGGCCCCCGTTTTAATTTTTTTAGTTTTATTTGTTTCTTTTTAGATAGGGAAGGTTTTGCTAAGTTGCCTAGGCTAGCCTGGAACTTGCAGTCCTCCTGCCTCAACCTCCTAAGTAGCTTGAACTGCAGGCATGTGCCACCACACCTGGCATGGAGTTTGCCTTTTTAGCTGGTTAGACACTTTGGTGTACTTTGAAGCACTGAGAGGTTTTTTTGTTTTTTTGTGTTTTTTTTACTGAGAGGTTTAAGTGAGAGAAAATACAGGACAACAGCTCCCACACCCTGGGATGCTTGTGTGCCCCTTCATGCTTGTTTCTTCTGGACCCAGGCAATTTTGTATTTCTGATGTTTCCCATGTAGCATGCACTGGCACAGGAGGGAGGGCTGGCAGTCGTCGGGAGGTGGGCCTGTGATGGTCTGTGCAGAGGCCTTCTTGGGGAGGACATGGAACCAGGTCCCTGGTGCTGAGCCGTGTGCACTGGAGGGGCCTGGATCGCCGAGCAGAGCCCTGCAGCGGAGCTGCGGCCATCTTGGCCTGCTTTTGTGGGAGTCCCGTGCGTCAGGGTCGCTTAGTGTGTTAAACTCCTCTCTCTCTTTTTACAGGAGCGGCAGAATCGAAACAAACAATAAGGATGAACCAGTTTCTTACGTAGTTAACAGTTGGCTTTGAAAGCAGTTTGAAACTGTATGCGTGGTGCTGTTTCTGGTGTCAGCTCCAGCGTGTCACCCTTGTGCGAGACTCAGTGTTGCATCTATATCTTCCTTATAGTTCATTTTTGCTGATGGATCTGTGTTCATTTGTATTTTTTCTATGTATTACAATATTATAGAACTCACTAATAAAGGAATATTTTTTGTCAGCATATCAGACTGACCTAATGCGAAATATAAATATCCTTAAAAACAAAATGAAAAATCTAATACACCCCAAAGATTTTTTTATTTTGGCAGAAATTATGTTCTTATTCTTATATCCAGTCATTTAATATTTCTATAGGAGACTTCAAAGTATTCACCCCTGCACTGCTTTTTTGCAAACAGAAGAACTCATGAGCTGTTTGTGGTTTAGAGTGTGCTGTTAAAATCTCACAGTACCAAAATCTGAAGGTTGGTGGCTGCCCTGTTTGGCTGGTTCACCATTTTTACTGTTCATGCTGTCGGAAATGCTCATTTGCCCATTTGGTTTTCTGGTAGGCAGAAAGATAAACTTTAGTTTTTCAAATATGGTGACTTCGGGTTGTGTCCCTGGAAAACACCCTCCACAGAGGTCACCTGCCCGGCAGCTGCCTTGCCCTGGCTGCCCGCAGTCTCACTGTACTGAGGATGCGGAAGGTGTTTGGGGTCTGATTCCTTGTGTATGTTCTTAGTTGTTTGCAGGTCATTTTTAATTTTACCCCTTTCTTCACTGATAACCCTAACGTCAGCTGAAGTTTCTACTAATAATGCTGAGCTTTAAATGTAGGATCTGATAGTACAGTGTGATGGATGATGCTGCCAACTAAATTTCATGTGTGTGTCTGATTTTTTTTTTCCTGTTGAATGGGTTAAAAAGCAAAGAACAAAAAACTCCTTTTAGGAAATAATTTGCTGTCCTGTGTTGTGGAATGAGGGGCCGTTAAGGAGCTGCCCTGCTACCTGGAGTTGGAATTTAGCATGAAAGTGGTGCTCATGCCCGACGCCCTCGCACACGAATCTGCACGCACCCACTGTAGAGGATCCTTACTGTCTTAGAGCAGATACCTTCCAAAACTATTTACTCCAAAAGACCCTCTGAGTTAAAAATCTAAGCTGTATTCTTTAGACTTGTATTTGGAGCGCGTCACTTCCTCTGAGCTGTTACTGCCTGTACAGATCCTGGGCAGCATCTGGTCGCTGTCCTCAAGAGAATACAAGCCTTAATAAACACCTGTTAGCAAGTCTGTGTGCTCGCGTCCTTCATCCTCCCGTGGGGTCTTGTCTTTGTGAAGCCGGTGGTGATGTCCTCGGGGTCTGAGGCCCTCTTTCCCGGGCATGTGGGGAGCTGGGGACCTCTGAGACTGACTGTGCTGGACTTTACTTCTCCCTCAGTGTCTTCCATTGAAAGGACAGAGGAACGCGTAAAGCTGCAGTCATAACCTAGGATTCCAGTGCTACCAACACAGGTGGAGATCGTCCGCGACTCTGACTCCTGTGCCGGGCTGGCTTTCTCATCTCCGTCCTTCTGCCCATCGTCAGTCCCTCTTCCCGATTGTGTATTTCAAGGGCAGACGGCAGTACACGTCCTCTCGACATTCTCCATGCATGCCTGTTTGATGTTTGTTCACAGGGTGTTTTCCTTGTGAGGTAAAGTTTACAAACGGTGAAACACGTGTGTCCAGGTATGTAGGTCCCTGTTTCTGACGTGTATGAGATAGAGGTAAAGATACAGAGCGTGAATGTCATCTCAGGAGTCTTCACATCCTCTCCCAGGCAGTTACTGCCTCTGCTGGAACTTAACCATTTATCAGGAAACGCACAGAACACAAGCTAGGAAAACTGGTCTCACGCCCTGACAGTTGGTCAGGTGGGGTATTTATTTTCTCCACTGTGGCTCCAGATTGCTTCCAGAATTTTACTTGAGGGAGTGTGTTTCTGCAGACAAACTGTAGAGCAAGCGGGAGGAGCTTTCAGAGGCTTCGTCATATTCCTGGTTATTAGCAGTGCCCAGTGTCAAGGAACTTGACGTGCTATGAAAGTTGGAGCAGGGCCAGGGATTTAACTCAGTGGTTCCGTTGCCTACCTCAAAAGTGCAAGGACCCAAGTTCGATCCCCGGTACCGAAAAAAAAAACAAAAGAAAGTTAGAGCAAACTTCAGTGATTTAGACGTGTGTCACACTGGTTTGTGAAAGGCTGTATCAATATTACTGTTAGTTTATGTTTCCCACTCCTGCCTTCCACAGCCAGCCAAATAAGCCCTTATTTCTTTTTCTGACCCTCCCCATAGCAAACCATGTTAGGGTTTCATAATGGATTCTAAGACACTGACTGGTAAAACTGTCACCCAGCAGTGCCATTTGGTGTCCCTCTGTTGCCTTTAAGATTTGCAGAGTCAGGTTTTTTGAAAACTAATTATTAGAAAAGACGTTTCAACAGTTGTCCTCCATATTTTAACATAATTCTGTGGATGGCATTCACATGGTTCAGATTTTGTTGAACTGAGAGAACACCCAGTTCAGTCTCTCAGCTGCCAGGCCTTCCCACTCCCCACGGGTCTCCAGTCCATGCTGAAGAGGACACAGGAAGGTGTGGAAGAGAAGGGTGACCAGCCCTGACCAGGGTTTGTGTCCAGGCTGGAAGTTAACTCCTCCTGGGCCTTGGGTACAGCACTCGGTGCTCAAGCCTGCTTCCCACGTGCACTGTGCACGGCTGGGGTCGGGGAGGAGCGACCTGCCCCAATGGTAAGGCTCCTCGTCTAGGGTGGACACCAGGTCCAGGCTTCACTTCTGCCAAGTGTCCATTTGAGAGGGCAGGCCTGGGGCAACCAGGGGGCAGATGGACCTGACTTCCTGTGGTGGCCTGGGGCTGAGATCATCTCGGACTGAGTCTGCAGTGCCCCCTTTTGCCTTTGGGATGTTGAGGTGGGCCTACGGGGTGTTTGTCATCAGCACCCTTCCTCCCCCAAGTGTTCATGCCACTCTGAGCTGCTCCGAGGGGTGAACAGTGACTGCCAAGCTCTGGTAGAGCTCAGCACACGGGTGGCGTTCAGCATGCTCTCCACAGATGTGTCTGTTCCTCTGCATCCTCTCCTGCACTGGGGAGGGAGGGTCACCTGTGACCAGGTGTAAAGAGGTCTTTGGAGGACCAGAGGTTGGGAGCAGGTGCAGGCACAGGGTCTAGGTAGGACTTGGTCAGTGCAGTGTGCACGGGGCCAATGGCTGGAGAGGGAGTGGTGTGCATGTCTGCAGGGCCCTTCTCTGCTCGGTGTCCAAGCTGCCTCTGGGTCTTGTCCTTTTCCCTGCCCCAGTCTTGCCCCAGAGAGAGCCGGTGTTTCCATCCCCACCTCTCTGAGAGCAAGGGTTGAGCAGCCCACCCTCCAGGGGGTTCCCTGCACTTGGCCTAACGATGATGCAGACAAACCTGTGCTGCACAAGGTTGGGTCCAGGGAACGCCGAGGGCAGGAGTAAATGGGAATGCTGCCAGAAGACAGACGCCCTAGCTGTGCTGCACACGGTGCATCCCTTCTGGGATGCCTTGACGTGGGCAGTGTGGGGCCAGCTGAAGCAGGAGCTGGCTGCTCTGGGCTGCTCATGCACAGACGGTGATCTCAACAGCTGCCTTCCTGCCAGGCAGCCAGGGTCCTCGGGTGGGTGACATGGAGCAGGCTCTGCTCTTGCTGCTTTCTGGTTTCTCTGCCCACTAGCTGTGGGGGATGCCACCGTGTGAATTCAGGACGGGATGGCAGAGTTCCTGCTCAGCATGGAGGTGTACAGTGAGACTGGAGAGGGCAGCAGGTTACTAGCAGTGCCAGACACCAGGACCAGTCTTGGTGTGGACCCCAGCTGGTGCAGCTTTGAGGAGTGGGGACTAATGAAAGCTCATGCCCCAGCAACGCCAGAATGCTGATGTCTCCCTTGCTCCAGGGACAGCAAGCTGAACCCTAAAGGAGGCGAGCTGGGAGGGGGGGCAGTCTGAGAAGAGCCTCCGGTTAGAACATCAGTGCTGGCAAAGGCTTGAAGGCAGGAGGGGCAGCAAGCATCCGGAGAGTCTGGAGGGATAGGGAGTAGGTGGTTTTTCTACCCTGGAGCTGCCTCATGCACCATACCCAGACATAAGCCTGGGGAGAAACCTGGAAGCAGCCCTTCTTAGGGCTCTGTTTGGTCTTCAGACTCGGGATGTCCTGACTTTAGGCCAAGTGGCCTCTGAGGGAGTTTTGTCACCCTGTTCAGGGATGGCCGCATGCACACACATAGGCACAACACGAATGCAAGTGCACACATGAACACAAACATACTTGTGCATATGGGCATCCACATAGTACAAGCATACATGCACACAGGTGTGCCTACATGCATAGTGTCCAAGGCAGTGCCAATGCATGTGCACATGAATGTGTGCTGATGCACACAGGCACGCACAATTGCATACATGCGGGCTTTGCTTGAACCGATGAGTTGTAAAGTTTCTGTGGGCCCTGTTTCATCCTCAGACTCTTGAGATGTTTCCAGCCTTTGGGCAGGTGATCTCAGAGCAGAGATTGCACCCTGTTCAGGTATGGCCACCATGTCTTTTAAACCAGAAAGCATGGCTGTTTGCCACAGAAAGTTCTGTACTTCTAAGGCTGTGAAATGATTGGGAAGTGCTTTTTGGAGATCTTCCGTGGACATTTTAGAAAACTGTGGAAGACATCCAAGGTGAGTTGGGTTGAGGGCTGCTTGGACAGTGATGGCTGGGGATCCCCAGGGCGTGGGGAGAGCTGTCCTGACATGGGGTTGGGGACCTGAGCTTTTCTCAGCTCATCTGTCATCGACCTCCCCCCTTTCTACTCTAAGCCCTTAGCTGCACTCTGTCACTGCCTCAATATGTGATCACCTGTGTTAATTTTCTTTCACTATGACAAAATACTCGAGATAATTAACTTACAATAAGATTTCATTTGTCCCATGGTTTTGGAGGTTCTAGTCCATTTCTTCAGCCCCTAGTAAGGGTGCAGATGGTAATGGTGGGGAGTGGACCTTGGTGCAGAACTACTCAGCACATGGCCATGATGCAAAGAGGAAGCGGCTGAAGGCCACAGTTCCTTTCATGGCCATGTCCCCTGTAACCTGAGGATTTCTCACGAGGCTTTACCTCATAAAAGTTCTGCCATTTCCCGGTGGTGCCACCCTAAGGACCAAACTTTTAATGCATGGACTTTATAGTTTGCCTATTCAAATTAGAGTCCCTTCCTAGAAGAATATGGTCTAAGTGACCTGTAGGAGGCCACGATTCCCATGGCCACATCTTCATTTTCTTCTCCACTTGCACTGCTTCAAAGAACTGAAGACAGGATGAGCTAGAGGAAGTTTAAGTGACCTCACCCCGCACTGCTGGTAGCGATAGGGGTGATGGCACGGGATGGATGATCATAGTGATGATGGTGGTGATAGCTGCTCACATTTATCAAGTGGACATGTGGTAGTTAAGCTTAATTGTGTCAACTTGGTTGACTTGAGAGCCACCTAGGACATTAGTAAGTATACTTCTATGTGTGTCAGGGTGGGTCATGGAAGTGTGACCTTGGGCATTATACATGGTCCCTGGCTCCTTCCTCTCTGGCACTGTTCCCCTGCTCTGCTTCCTGGTCACTCTGAACTAATCAGCTTTGCTCTACCACTGTCTCCACTATGATATTCTTGCCTTCTGAAATCACAAACCAAATTTTGTCTCTCAATTAAATTGCAGGTGTTGAGTATTTTGTACAGCAATGGGAAAGCTGCCTAATACAGAAATTGGTACCAGAGAAGTGGGGTTGTTGTTGACTGCACCTGAGCATGTGGTTTAGAAGCCTTTGGAACTGGTCTGCAGGTGGAGTTTAGAAAGGTTTGGAGATGTGGGATAGAGAAGCCCTAGAATGCTATAAGCAGAGCCTGTTCAGTAATTCTGATCAGAGCTCAAAAGACCAGAATGCTGATAGTAAAGTGGACAGTAAAGGCCAGGCTCAGGTGATTTCAGTTGGGAACAAGGACTTCATTGGCAATTGAACTACAGGCTATGCATGTTACACTGACAAAAATTTTGTCTACATTTTGCCCATGCCCTGAGACTTTATGGGAGATAGATTAAGGTCAGTGGACTAATTGATCTAGTGGTCAGTGCAACCCAACATTCAGGCTATCTTATGCTGGCTGCTCTTAGATAGATTTATAGTGAGAATCAAGGGCAGAAAGTAGAAGAGAAAAATGTGGAAAACTTAAATTTT